CTTCGAGTCTCTTGGGACACAACTTGGAAATCTTCCTCCTCTTCCTCCTCCTCCTCCTGGGGATTCCTTTTCCATTTTGTTTAAAACCCTAAGAGAGTTTGTGATGTCCATGCATCAAATACAGGTTCCTGGCTGTGCAGGGGGCTGCTGCTTCCGATTTCGGACGGCGCCCGATTTCTCTTTGTAGGCAATTGGCATCTGTTGTGAAATGTCCACCAGAGCGCTGGCCACGGCGAGACCTGGGGCAGCAGAGCAAAGAGTCAGGGAACAAAAGGGGGGCACAGCAGCAAATCCCACACAGCAGCCAGGGCTGAGGGAAACCCTCCAGGCCACAAAACGCATGGAATTTTCGGGGTGGAGCTGAAGAGCGTTTTGGCTGAAGGGTTTAAAACTCCAGCCAGTGTCCTGGAATAAGCTGAAACTGGGAGCAAGGTGGGCAGGAAAAGCTGCAGGAAGCGTGAGGATTAATGGGTGTGAACCCTTAATATTGAAGGTTGTTTCTGCATCGGTAGATAAATAAATAAACCTGGAAGAACGTGGGCACGGAGGCGTCCCTGCGCTTCCCGGGGATCCATCATCTCTGCAACCTCCTCACGGCGGGTCAGGGTATCAGGGAATGGTTTGGGTTGGAAGGGACCTCAAAGACCATCCAGTTCCAGCAGGGACACCTTCCACAACCCCAGGTCGCTCCAAGCCTTTTCCAGCCTGGCCTTGGACACTTCCAGGGATGGGGCTTTGAACAACCTGGGATAGTGGAAGGTGTCCCTGCTCATGGCAGGAGGGGTGGAACGAGATGGTCTTTAAGATCCCTTCCAAGCCAAATCATCCCATTATTCTATGACTTGATGTCTCCCTACAAATGGAGCTGGGAATGAAGTGGAACGGTGACAAGTTACTTTTCATGAGGAACCACTGCAAAGCTGTCTGTACCAGATGCACCTTTTTCCCCAGGCACTAATTAGAGCATAATCCAAATATCAAACGTTCATCCACCACCTGACCCAAGGAATTGCCTCAAAGCTCAGCTCAGAATCCACCAGGGCACAACCTGGTGGAGCCTAAAACACCCCGAGCCGGGGTGTGGGAACATCAGCATTGTGGGATCAGGAAAGGCGGATCTGTAAGGCTGGGGAAGGAGTATGGAGTTAATCCCAAGCCATGAGAGTCAGGAATAACCCTCACCTGACTGTCCTGGTGGTGGAATTCCCCCAAGTCCTCGAGGCAACCTCACGAAGACGGAGAGGACGGCCGCTTTGTTCCCGAAGCAGGGCTCGAGCGCGATGGGCTTTGGTACCGTCTGCAGGGGGGGGAAAAGGGGACAAAACAACTGTCACACAGCCTGTTCCACCCTCCCTCCTCCCCCAGCTCCTGCAAGCTCCAGGGTTGTTGCCTGGCGGGTTTCCAGCACAAAGGCAGCAAAGCTGAAATCGGTGTCAGCAACAATCAAAGCCGAGTCCTCGCAGAGGAACACGAGCGCTTCATGAAAACCAGGCTGTTCCAGAGCCAGGCCCTGCACAGGGCTGGTATTCCCCCCTAAATTCAACCAAAGAGGAGCAGCTCGTGTTAAACAGCGGAGCTGGGTTTGCTTTTCCTTCAAACCCATCAGCAGAGTACCCAGAGCATCAGCACGTCCCACCACGGGGTCCGAGTTCGACTTCCCTTTCCAGAGTTTAACCCCAGGTTTCACCCCCACAACGCTCTCTGCATTAACACAGCAAAGAACATTCCCCCGAGAACAAAAAGAAGAGTCCAAGGCCAGGTTGGATGGGGCTTGGAGTAATCTGGGCTAGTGGAAGGTGTCCCTGCCCATGGCAGGGGGTTGGAACCGGATGATTTTAAGGTCCCTTCCAACCCAAAGGAGGTCCCTTCTCCAAAAAGAGGAAGTTGCAAGAGTACACAATGAGGACAGGTACAAGAGAGAGTCTTCTTTTGTTGCACAACAGCAAAAAAAAGCTGAGCAACATTATTTTACACGATGCACTCGGTGCTTTCTGCTTTCTTGTTTAGTATGGACAAGTTCTACCCTGGTATTAATGAAATAATTATTGCTCTTTCCCACCAGGCATCAAACTGCAGCACCGCGCTCGAATGTTCAACAGAAACTCAATACAACACGAGGCACTGAAAAGAGCCCGAGCAGGAGTCAAACAAGGCTGTTAAATTACTGCTGCTCAATAAAAGAGACAAAGGGAGCTGACAGCCGGCAAAATGAAACCCAAAACTGCTTCCATATCTCCCCTTCCCTGCCACGATCGCAGCGGGATTTTGCTGCTCTGGGCGAGGCAGATAAACGAGTTCCCTCGAGTTTCATGGGGCTGGCTCATGGAAGTCCTCACCCTCCAGCCAACTCACAGAACCAGGAGGCTGGAAAATCCATCTCCCAGTCGCCAAACCCAGCCCTTCCCTAATGCAGGTACATGAAAGGCCAATCCTCAGCTTTAAAAGCAGTTACACTTTCAGCCTGTCCCATCACCTTCCCAGAGGCTCCCTGCTCCTGGATCTCAAGGCTCTGCCACCAGAAACTTTCTTGTTTATCCTCAAATCCTCCCCACCTCAATTTATTCATCCCTCTGTGCCTTTAACCCTCTCCCTGGGCTTCTTCAGGCTCAGCTGATTGGGCACCACCGTGAATTCCAGCTTCTCTGCCCAACCTGTGCCAGGGCCTCCCCACCCTCCCAGCCAGCAATTCCTTCCCAATATCCCATCTATCCCTGCCCTCTGGCAGTGGGAAGCCATTCCCCCTTTTCCTGTCCCTCCAACCCTTGTAAACAGTCCCTCTCCCTCTTTCTTGTCGGCTCCTTCAGCTCCTGGAAAGCCACAATTAGGTCACCCCAGAGCCTTTTCCTTTCCAGGCTGAACATTCCCCCAAAAAACCTGAAGGTTAGTTAAAAAAAAAAAGTTAACATTTTTGCACGGGGGAATTTCATTTCTCTCAGCCACAGCGAGGATAATGATGCACCCAAACCCCTGTCAGGCAGTTGCAAACTAATTTGGAGGGAATTAAGCCCAGCATCGTTTTGCTGCAGCTGATCTGGATCTTAAAACTAAAACGGGGAGGTGGAAAACCAGCCGATTTTCCATCAGACCCAGCTCTTCCCGAGACAACAAAGCGTGACAACAAAAACCAGCCTGAAGAATCAAATCCTGTACAGTCATTTTTTGACAGTTCAGGCCCCTGCTTTCCGAGCTGTGACTCAGAGTGCAGCGCTCAGCTCCGAGCTGTGCTCGCCCGGCCGGAATGACGGGAGTGACTCACGCAGGAGTGACGGGAATGAGGAATTGGCTGCGAGGAGGGGGGTCAGCTGGGAGTGAAGGGCGAGCTGTGCCCTCTGTGAGACACACAGAGCCCCTGTGGGACTGCCCTCGGTCACGCAGGGAGGGAAAACCCACGGGGGTTCGTGGGGCTCCGGATTGCGGATCCTGCCCCTGCCGTGTTCGGGTGGGACCTCTGGAGGTGCCACCACGGCACAAAAAGGGGCTGAGGAGAGGCTGGGTGGCCTCACCAAGTGGAATTTTGGTGGGGAGACCTCAGAAGAGCTCAAGTGTCCTTTCTTTCCCCACCCCTGAGTGCTCTTGTCACAGAATCCTGGAATATCCCGAGGGGGAAGGGATCCACAGGGATCATCCACTCCAACTCCTGGTCCTGCACTGACACCCCAACAATCCCATCATATCCAAACCCTCCTGGAGCTCTGGCAGCCTTGGGGCTGTGCCCACCGCCCTGGAGAGCCTGGGCAGTGCCAACCACCCTCTGGGGGAAGAACCTTCTGCTGAGATCCACCCTGAGCCTGCCCTGGCACAGCTCCAGCCATTCCCTCTTTTTGCAGATCCGAGCTGTTCTCCTGCAACGAGGTTTTGGGCAGACTTGTTAAAAACCAGAGATCAAAACACTTGGGATTCAACCTGAGAGGTGGCTTTGAATGGCAAACTTCTAAAAACTACATAAAAAGAGGGAGATCTCCAAACTTTTTGACACCTTTTATCAGGTGCTTCAAACCTGCCCCTCGCCAGCGACTTCCACCCGGAGTGTTCTGATAGAGCCACTGCTGAATTATTGAAGTGATTCCCTTTTTATTGAAGGCTTAACAGCACAATAAAGTTGACATTATTCAAATCTATGCAAATAAGGAGCATCCCTCAGACACTCAGCACAAGAGGAGCTGCTTTGAGAGGGGCCTGAACAGAGGGGTCACAGCTCAGGAGGGGACAAAGACCACGGTCAGTGGCCACGGGCAGACAACTGGTGGAGCCACCAGGCCCCCTGCCCTGAGGTTCTGCTTGTCCTCAAATATTGTGACTGCACTGGAGTGACCATTTCATGCAGCTGATCACAGAGAACCTTGGTGCCTGGACTAATCACAGAATCCTGGAATGGTTTGGGTTGGAAGGGACCTTGAAATCATCCAGTTCCACCCCCTGCCGTGGGCAGGGACACCTTCCACCAGCCCAGGCTGCTCCAACCTGGCCTTGGACACTTCCAGGGATCCAGGGGCAGCCCCAGCTTCTCTGCCCAACCTGGGCCAGGGCCTCCCCACCCTCCCAGCCAGGAATTCCTTCCCAACATCCCATCTCTCCCTGCCCACCAGGATGGTGCAAATGCCAAACAAGGAGCACCAACCCCAGCCTGGACACCATTTCCACCGTTCCTGGGTGGAAACAGGGAGCTGATGGTGTTTTCCCGAGCAGTGCCACAGCCCCTGGTTCCCTGAGGCAGCAAATCTGTTCTCAGCCCATTCCCCACAAATTACAGGCCCCAACCAGCACTAAAAAGCCAAACAATTCCAGTTGCTTCCGAGTTTGGATGTGAACTTAACAGGCCCAGAGCTTAAAACAATTACAGACATTACAAGCAGGAAGCGACACATCCAGTGATTTCATTAAACCCAGTTCCTCCAGATGGATTTTTTCCACCAAAAGGAATTTCCCAGGAATTCTCCTGGGCTCTTCCCAGGTGCCCCAGGTGTGGAATCCACCACCAGTTCCCTCGGGAGGCGATTTCCCCCAGGTGGAATTGTGTGCTGCTCGACCTCAACGCTTCCATTTAATCTCATTATTTGCTATTTACGCTGCTTTTTCTCGGGCAAATCCGAAAGGTTAATAAATCAAAGAGGGGTTAATAACGTGTCACATCAAACCAAGGGGCCAGCACAACAAATATTCGGTGTCACCTTCCAAAACAAGGCATCCCTTTCATTCAGGTGCTGTGATCCCTTGCTTTTCAAAATGCATTCAAAAAAAAAAAAACCCAAAAATAAATAAATAACTTCCAGGGAATTATTATTTTTTTTTCTTCCCCCCCCCCTCAAAAAGAAAACAACGTTGCTGTGGTTCGATCAAATAATTTGATTCCTCCTGTTGAGGTGATTTCACTCTGCACACACACAAAGACAAAAAAAAAAAAAAAGGGTCAAATTCCATTTGCAAGTTTTTAAATTGTGCCACTAAAAGCCGTTTTGTAAAACAAGTCACAAGCAATTTCCTAGTGGGGGAAAAAAAAAAATAAGAAATAGATTATTAAGCTTTAAAAATCGCATTTCTCAGGGTAATATGTGTGTCCTGCAAGATAGAGATGAAGGAACTCCCAGCAATAGTTCACGGTAAATGAAGCTGAGATTAAAAATTTACATTTACCTTGGGCCTGTGACACAGAGAGGGGAGGGAGGGATGAATTGAACACGACGTGAACCCAAAACTGAACTAAATAAAAATCATATTCAAACCCTCAGATGGATGTTCAGAGTCTGAAATGGAAAAGAGAGGTCTGAGCGTGCCGAGTTTCCAAGGTCTGGGAGCCCACACTGAGCTGCTCCCACTGCATTTAACAACTGCTTTTTATTTTTATTCTTATTTTTATTCTTATTTTTATTCTTTCTGGGAGGCAACTCTGGATTTCCAAAGGTCAGGACACCCTGAAAGGACCAAATCCCACCTCACAGCTTTGAGCTTCGGACACCATCACTCATCCTCCTTCTTCTGTCCCCTGGGGGGAAAAGATGGGCTGGATGAGGCCATGGGTAGCAAATCTGGGCAATAAATATATATCTATATATTTATTTTAATTTTTTATGGGTGAAGAGGCAGGATTTTTGTGGTTCTTTTCCACCACTCGTCTGGATTTTTGAACAGAAAAAAGTACAAGAAGTTGGAAAAAAAAAACCTCCAAAAAATAAACAGCTGGGTGAAGACTGAAAACACAACACCCACAAAATAATTCCTTGGCATAAAGGAATGCAAGCAGGTCCCTGATAATGCTGGGTGTTCTCAGGGCTTCAATCAGAAAGATGCTCCTTAAAGAGGGGGGAAAATGAGCTCAGCAAATCCCTCTCCCCTGGGAAGCTTCGTGCTCCTCCCTCTCCCTCCAGCAAACTCCTCCTTATCACCTCAAATCAGGGGCCAGCCTGAGGAAATATTCAGCCTTCACATCTCAAAGCAGTTTAAATCACTTATCAGCCACAAGCTCCCTAAAAACAGGGCAGGCTTAACAGATATCTCTGGTGGTCTCCTGACAGCTCCCTTCCAAATATTTATATCCCATATTAAATTATGGGAGCAGTAAAAATTTCCTCTAATATTTTTTTTCCCCTTGATTTTTCCAATTTTATTTTATTTTTTTTTTAACTGGCAATAATTCACTGGGGGAAGGTTTTTATGAGGTTGGTGTTTTGGCAGGAGGGATCCCAGCCAGGTTATCTGGAATTCTGGAGGGATTCATCCACTTGATCCATCTCAGCTGCCCAGGGAATACTCCCTTTCCCACCCCTGGCATTCTTTCCCCCCTGAATTTCATCCCATTCCTCTCCAACTATCATCCTTTGGAGGAGAATCTCTCCCAGCTTACTCCTGTTGTCCTTGAGAAACCACCCCGAGCTGCTCCGTCCCCCCAAAAAACCTCGAGAGCACCAGAGGGAACGGCCTCAGGCTGTGCCAGGGGAGCTTTAGGTTGGGATAGCAGGGAAAATTCCTTCATGGAAAGGGTTGTAAAGCATTGGAACCGGCTGCCCAGGGCACTGGTGGAGTCACCATCCCTGGAAGTGCCCAAAAAAAACCACGTGGATGTGGCACTTGGGGACTTTGGTTTAACGACTTGATGGTTTTAAAGGTCTTTCCCAACATTCATCATCCTGTGATTCAACAGCCTGCTCGTTTCTGCTCCAGGTGACTTTCATCACACCTCAAGAGCCGGTCCCTCAGCAGATGGGGCGCACCAAGAGCAGGTCAGTGGGAAGTGAAGGGGGAGGTGAGTCACCAGCAGTGACAACAGAACAACAAAAGCTGTAAAAACCATCAGTTCCTCGGCCTGTGGCTCTTCACTGACCTCTCCTTGCACGAAACAGCCCCCAAAATCCAACTACAACAGAGAAAGAAATGAAGATGAAGTCAGCCTGTGGAAGTGCAGGAGCTGGGAGATGCTTCCCTTCCAATCACTGCCACCCCTGCACCCCAAACCCTGCCCAGGACTCACATCTCATTTCTCTGCTCCTTTCCAGATTCCTTCAGGAACAGCTTCTGAAGACTTTCTGAATTCTTTCAGCAAAAGCTTCTAAAACCAATAAACTTCCCGAATTCTTTCAAGAAGAGCTTCTAAAAATTATAAACTTTCCAGATGCTTTCAGGAAAAGCTTTTAAAACCTATAAACCTTCCAGATTCTGTCAGGAAAACCTTCAAAAACCCATACACTTTCCAAATTCTTTCAGGAAAAGTTTCTAAACCCCATAAACCTTCCAGATTCTTTCAAGAAAAGCTTCTAAAAATTATAAACTTTCCAGATGCTTTCAGGAAAAGCCTCTAAAAACCATAAACTTCCCAATTTTTTTTCATGAAAAGCTTCTAAAGACTATAAACTTACCAAATTCTTTCACAAAAAGCTTCTAAACCCCATCAACTTCCCAAATTCTTTCAAGAAAAGCTTCTACAAATTATAAGCTTTCCAGATTTTTTCAAGGAAAGCTTCTAAGACTTATAAACTTGCCAAATTCTTTCAGGAAAACCTTCTAAACCCCATAAACTTTACAGAGTCTTTAAGAAAAAAGCTTCAGAAAAATACAAACTCTTCAAGTTATTTCAGGAGAACCTTCTAAAAACTATAAACTTTCCAAATTTTTTCAGGACAATCTAAAACCTATAAATGTTCCACAGTCCCTCAGGAAAAGCTTCTAAAAACCATAAACTTCCCAAATTCTTTCAAGAAAAGCTTCTAAAAATGATAAACTTTCCAGATGCTTTCAGGAAAAACCTCTAAAACCCATAAACTTTCAAAATTCTTTCAGGAAAACCTTCTCAAAATTAAAAAACATCCCAAATTTCTTTCGGAAAAAGCTTCTAAACCCCATAAACTTTACAGAGTCTTTAAGGAAAAAGCTTCTAAAAACCACAAACTCTTCAAGTTATTTCAGGAGAAGCTTCTAAAAACTACCAACTTTCCAGATTCTCTAAAGAAAAGCTTCTAAAAATTATAAACCTTCCACATTCTTTCAGCAAAACCTTCTAAAACCCACAAACTTTCCAGATGCTTTCAGGAAAACCTTCTAAAAAACCCATAAATTTCCCATATTCTTTCAGGAAAAGCTTCTAAACCCCATAAACTTTCCAAATTCTTTCAGGAAAAGTTTCTAAACCCCATAAACCTTCCAGATTCTTTCAGGAAAAGCTGCTAAAAATTATAAACTTTCCAAATTCTTTCAGGAAAAGCTTCTAAACCCCCAGAAATTTCCCAGATTTTTTTTTTTTTTTTTTAGGAAAACCTCCTCTAAACTCAAATCTTCCCAAATTCCTTCCGGAAAAGAACCCAAAAACGGCTGCAGGGGATTAGGAAGCTTCGAATTATTTGATAACAAACCCTAAAAAAACCCAAACAAACAACCAAACCCTGAGCTGCAGCCACTTGGATGAGTCCCAGACACCCAGGGATGGTTAAACACTCTCAGAAAAACAAAACAAACCAAAACAAAACAACAATAAATCACAATATCCAGCACAGAGAAAAGCCAAGGAATTTTGGGATAACCAAGCAAATTCAGCGTGGATTTGGGATCCAGTAGGGTATTTGTGGAGTGGGAAAGAACCCAAAGCTGCAGCCCCTCACAGGAACAGTTTCCCTGCAGGTAAAATCCCTTTCTGTGACTCCAAAGAAACCCCAGGAAAAAAAAAACCAAAAAAAAAAAAAAAACCCAAAAAAGGACTAATTGAAAACACAGTTCTAATCCCATCCAGCTGGAAAACAGCAGCTTAGGATGGAAGTGGTTGGACTTTGGGGCTGCCAACTGGCTCTGGACAATGGAGAGGGGAATTAATCCTTTGCAGACAACACTGTCCCATTTTCCACTTCTCCTCTGTCACCTTCCAATCAAATCATCATTAAAAAAAGCCTTTGATTCCCACAGGGAAAGAAAACCATTGGGGATGACACAAGTTTGGGTTTCTTGCATTAAAATTGGGGGGCTAAAAAAGGGTTATTTCTCCACAGCCTTACTTATTGTGCCTAAAACTGGCTTTTCCATCCGTTCCTGAGTAACCCGAGGAGGTCAGAGCAGTGAGGGATGGAAGGTGATGAGAAGTGAAGGGATCCAGAGTTTACCTTCTCTGTACCTGGAGGGCAGTTGTCAGAGAGACCAAAAAGTTTGGGATAGCTTTGTCTGGCCTGATCCCACAGGAGGGGGGATTTTAGCTGGTTTTTAATTCCAGAAAATGGAAAAAAAAAAAAAGGGGATGGGAAGTGCCCTCAGATAAGACAGACAGACTGCAAACCAAAGCCACCAGCAGCCAGGTACAGCCTCCCAGATCCTCCTCCATCCCTATGGAAAATTCCTGCCTGGAAAGGGTTGTCCAGCCCTGGCACAGCTGCCCAGGGCAGGGGTGGATCCCCATCCCTGCAGGGATTTCAAATCCCTGTGGATGTGGCACTTGGGGACATGGTCAGTGGTGGCCTGGGCAGTGCTGGGGGGAATGGTTGGACTGGATGATCTCAGAGGGCTTTTCCAACCAAAATTATTCTGTGATTCCATGGATTGAAAAGCTCTTTGTCCACTCAGGACACCAACTGGGGGTGGGGGGAAAGATTCCAGTTCTCCATGAGAGATCATATTCACACCCAAACAAGGAAGAGCTAAAGCTCTACAGGCAACATTAACGGTGGCTTTTCCTGCTGCTCAGGCCAAGAGTCAATGTTATCTCTCACCAAACAGCAGTTCTGGGCTCGCACTGTTTCCATGGGATTTACAATAATTAAAATACACGGATTTTTTTCCTAAAGGAAAGCAGAACCTGCTCTCTTGTTAAAGGAAGAGAATGTGAGAAACTTGATGCCTGGGCTAATCAGAGAAACATGGAATGGTCTGGGTTGGAAGAGACCTTGAAGATCAGCCAGTTCCACCCCCTACCCATGGGCAGGGACACCTTCCACCAGCCCAGGGTGCTCCAGCCTGGCCTTGGACACTTCCAGGGATCCAGGGGCAGCCACAGCTTCTCTGCCCAACCTGGGCCAGGCCCTCCCCACCCTCACAGGGGAGAACTTTTTTCCCTAATATCTAATTTAAATCTACCCTCCTTCAGCCTAATGAGGAAGACTTCCAAAAAAAACTTCAGCCTCAACAAAATAAGCCAATCCAGCTGCCTTGGACAGGATGAAAAATAATCAGTGTTCTCAGCTCCTTCATGTTTTTTCTTTTCGCATCCAAGTCAAAGCACGGCCTCGAAAAAAGATCTTTTAATTCATTTGTTGCCTTTCAAATCTGCTTCTCCTGAAACCCCAACGTGCTGTGTTCTCTCCACGCTCCTCACAAGATCTACTGGAACGTGTGATTATAATCAGAAATGTTTTAACAGCCTAACAACAGAGAGATTATATTCCAGCAGATAGACTACATTCCAACACACAGATTATACTCCAACAGACATGATTACACTCCAACAGACACGATTATATTCCAACAGACACGATTATATTCCTGCTTGCTTTGAGGTGTCACCAAAAAAGGGCTTCTATTTGCAGCCACTGCAGGTACTTGCAGCCAAATGTTGCCCGGTGCAAAGCTGCTTTTTTCCCCATCAGAAGGCACAAAACTGAGAAGCCCAACCCAACATCTCACAGGCCAAATCAGCACAACTTTTATCTCAACCAGCCCCGAAGTTCTCAGAGAAAAATCAAAGCGAATCCAGACGGTACCTCCCGTCGGCCCTCCCGGCCTTCCAGGTGTCCGGAAAACGGGCAGGGTTTGGGCTGAAGGGCCGAGAGGACCCTCCCAAAGCTCTCAGCTCTCACCTTTATGCTCCCCCCGATGAGATCTGGTGGCTCTTCATCTGTTTCTAAGGCAACGTTGATGGAGGCGAAGGGGCGACTCGCCATCTGTTGCATCTCGCGCAGGAGTTGCTGGTTTAAGAGAGAGAGAGAGAGAGAGAAAAAAAAGAAATACCATCAGCACATTGTCCCCACCTCGAGAGGCAAGCAGGCAAATCGTCTCTGATGCGAAAGGAGAGGGAAAATAACCTCCTGGGGTCGGGATGGGCCTGAAAGGAACGGGTGATGGGAAATAAAGTCACGTTGTACAAGTTACGGCAGGTGAAGCTCGACGCCGAGCCCGAGATCGGTGCGAGGTGGGGAAACGATCTCCCTGAGGCTCCCCAAAGCAGGTATTTCCCTCTGAAGCTGCTCTTCGCCATCACCTGCTCCGCTGGATTTGTGGGGATGGTTTTTCAAAACTAACCAGCAGCGCTTGGTTAAGTGCTGCGAGGATGAATTTGCTGCTTTTTGTTTGGTTTTGTTTTGTTTTGTTTTTTTTTATGACAGCCCCAGCCAAACGCTGTCAGGCCGCTCTTGAATAATCCTCCTGCTTTATTGTTTCCTTGCTGAGTGCAGCAAATCTATCAAATGGCAAACGTGTGCCCCTCGTTGCAAAACGTTTTATTAAAATCAATCAAACAAACAAACAAAAAAAACCGCCACCCTTTTCCTGGATAAATCCCCTGGAGCCCTCACCACACAAGACATCTTTTTACTGTGCTCCGAAGCACTTTGAAGCATCACAGGGCAGTTCCCCCCCACTTTTTATTTTTTTTTTATAACACACAGAAAACAGGCACTTTCTCCACAGCTGGGCTGGGAGCAGCTTTTCAGTTTTAGGCTGAGCTGTGGACAGGCTGCTTTTCTGGCCTCAGTGATCGATCCTTAATAGCAACAGCCCAGCCTGGGAGGGGGTGGAGAACCCAAAATTCCCTGAGGCAAAGGGGCCCGATGGGAATCGATGACTCCATTCAATAAGGGAAGAGGCAAACACTTTGCAGGGCGTGTGAACAACCAGTGCTCTCACCCTTGTAAGTGCACAAACTGCCCAAACCACAGAGCCCTGCACATTTACCATCACTGTTTATCCCCAGCAACACCAGCTATCCTCAGTTTTTAAGCCGGACTGAGGCACCACCAAACGCTCGCTGTTAATTCCCACCATCACCACCCGCGTTTCCCAGCCGTTCTCACGGCAATTTGACCTGAACTGATCATTTCCAGCACTCAGAAAGTGCTAAACAAAACCACCCCCCAGCCAGCACAGCGGAAGGTGAAAGGAAGGTGTCGTTACCCAGCGAGCTCGTTTGGACAGAACGAATCCAGGGAATCCTGGAATGGTTTGGGTTGGGAGGGACCTTGAAGATCATCCAGTTCCAACCCCCTGCCATGGGCAGGGACACCTTCCACTAGCCCAGGTTGCTCCAATCTGGCCTTGGACACTTCCAGGGATCCAGGGGCAGCCACAGCTTCTCTGCCCAACCTGTGCCAGGGCCTCCCCACCCTCAGAGCCAGAAATCTCTTCCCAATATCCCATCTATCCCTGCTCTCTGTCAACATGAAGCCATTCCCCCTTGTCCTGTCCCTCCATCCGTTGTAAATAGTCTCTGTCCATCTTTCTTTTTGGCTCCTTCAGGCACTGGAAGGCCACAATTAGGTCACCCCAAAGCCTTCTCTTCTCCAGGCTGAACAATCCCAACTCTCCCAGCCTTTCCTCCCAGCAGAGCTGCTCCATCCCTCTGACCATCTTGGTGCCTCCTCTGGACTCGCTCCAACAGCTCCATGTCCCTCCTGTGCTATCAGGTAACGATAATTCCATCCTCTTTTTCCTGAACACGACCCCAGGATGGGTCAGGCTGGAAAAGCCCACAGTGGGTCCTCTGGTCCCACCTCGCTGCTCCAGCAGGGCCATCCCAGAGCACATGGCACAGGGTTGTGTCCACACAGCTCTGGGATATCTCCAATGAGGA